AAATAAATCTCATATAAAAAATTTTCATAGCATAAATTTAATCTGTATTTTTTAAAATGTCACAATTTTTCATTTTTTTCAAATATAACATAGATTTGACTTTTCCCAGTGAGTTTTTCTATTTAAAAAAAGTTCAATTTAGATGGTAAAATTTCAAACTTTATGCCATTCAATTTATGTTATTTAAATAAATACTTTAAAAAAATACATATTGGTTTAGGTAAGAAATTTTAATGAGTTGGAAGTGCAGTTTCGTCAAAATTGGGTGTCTATCCAAATCCATGGTTTTCCATAGGTACCAAAAAAAATGGTGTTAGGTGAGTCCAAGGCTATTTGACATTCTCGTGAAACCGAGGTTGGTTGGATTTCTAGTAAAGTTTGCAAATTTAATATTATCATGTTTAGTTGGTCGTGTATATATATATATATATATATATATATATATATATATGTTGCCTCTTTATTTTGTAGTGTTTTCTTCTGTGTATTTTCAATTTTTTAAAAAGTTGAATAATTGCATGTTTAGAGAAAAAAATTGTGTATTTTATCCTTAATGCTGTTGTTAATGCTAGTAGGGTGATGGTTAAAGTGAGGAGTTTGTTTTTTATTTATTAAATGTCAACTTTCTTTTTAGTATTAATCAAATGGAATGGAATTTTAGGAGTAACACATCCTCTTATTGTTATATGTCTTGTAAAAGTATTTTAACTTATTGTTATATGTCTTGTAGCAATTTAACAAAAATAAAATAGTAAAAGTGATAGAAAAAAAACAACCTAAAAGACGTGGAGATTCGAACCTACAACCTTTAACAAATTTTACTAATACTTTGACCAATTGAGCTATGCTCAAGTTGGCATTACAAGAATGTTATTTTTAAAAATATTATAGAAATTTGAATTTATGGCAGTGAAGAATTGAGGTTATCCTATGCTGCAATTTCATGATTATATCTGATAACAGATTGGTGGACCCCACATAGCCATATTATAAATAGGAAGGGAATCTGTGACGTTTGAGTAGAGAGGAGAGGTGCATAGATGAATCGGTACAACATCTGAATGAGAGGGGTCTTAAGATCATGGAAGCATGATTAACAAAGGTTTAAAAGAATATAGTCACTATCTATAATAAAGCGTACACGTTCCTTTCTAGTGACTCAACCATAAGAACTCTAAAGTTAAGTGTGCTTGGATTGGACCGATATTGAGTCGGGTCATCTCCTAGTTGATTTACTAGGAAATATGTGAGTGAGGACAAACTAACCTTGAGAGCATGTTTGGGAATGATTTTGATGGAGTAATTTTATTGAAAGAGATCAAATGATTTTGTAAAAGTGATTTCTATATTATTTGTTTTTCAATTAATTTTGAATGATTAAGATTTTATTTCAAAATTGATTTTAGAATCACGAAATTAATAATATATATATTTTTAAAATAATTTATCAAGTAATTATGATGAAAAAAGCCTGATATATATAACTAAATAATCAATCTCAATCATTTTAGAAAAGGAGACAAATTTTAGAGAGAAAAATAAACTTAAAAATAGACTGGGACTAAAAATTTAGATAGAGTACACAAATTTGAGGGATAACCTATAAAATTAAAGATAAATAAAGTTAGAGAAAAAACAAAATTTTTCAAACATAAAGGTGAATTTGAAATTTATAACTATTTTAAAAACTAATTTTTTATTAATTATTTGATCAAAATAATCGCTTAGAAAATCATCTCTGAAGTGATTGACTAAGTATCATTAAGAGAGATTTTGAATTTTTAAAAAATCACTTTAAGAATCATTGTCAAACATGTGCTTCTAACCTCAAAATCATTCTCAAGAATATCCTATACATGCTATAAAAATTTTGAAAAGTATTTTTAATAAGATAAAACCAAATTGTCGAGGCGCGCTGGTCTGGATACTCGTAGAAAAAAAATCACAAACTCACCATGCCTTAAATGATTAGTAAAAGATTAAAAATTAAACTAATTTTGTAATGGGTGACTTATAGCATAACAATTAAAAACACAAGGACCATAATTTTAAAAAAGAATAAAAAAAAATTAAAGCTTTATTTAATAATAACCACTTTATTTCTTGTTTTTTATTTAAACAAAATTAAGCTTTATTAAAACTCTTTTTTCAAAATCTAAATCAAAATTTAAAAACTAAATAAGAAAGTAATTTTCTAAAACCCGTTTCTTTAAAATTTGGCTTTTCCACTCGAGAAGTAAATGAAAAAAAAATAAAAAAAAATAAACCAAAACTAAAATTAATTTGGATATTTTTGGCGTTGTTAAGTTAAGTAAGAAGACAATATGGAGTGTAAAACGACCTGTCGTTTCCGTTCGGCCGACTTCGGTCCTTGGAAAAGCAATTGATTGAAATTCCCATCAATCCATCGTCCATCGTCCCTTTCAAATTTCCCATTTCAACTCATTGTCTCTTCCACTTTTTCTGAGACTAAAGAAAAATTAGTAGTGGATTGGATAACCCTTTCCTTCCCAGTTCCTACTTCTAATTTTTCGCTTTCTCTTTCTCTTCCTCTTCTTGTCAATAAACAGTGGTTGCCCAGTTGGTTTTAGAGGCAGATAGAGATGGTTTTGATTCAAGAATCTCTGGATTTTGTGGGGTTTTTTTTGGGTCTCTGATTTTTTTTGGTTTTCTTTGATGGGTAAGAAGAAGACCCAGAAGACGAAGGAGATTGCAGTGGCTATAGCGGAAACCTCCACCTCCAAATCCGATCATGGCGCCGCACAATCGGTGCAGCGCAGAAAGAGGGGCAGACCTCGCAAGGTCGTCGATGAAGCACAAACCGAAGAG